ATAAAGTTCAAAAACAAAAACTAAACGTGAAAATAGAGTGAAAGTAGAAAAATAGTATCACGTGGCTAAACGTTGTTAAACACTCGTGACTAAAACTCCCATTTAACCACTTGTTACTAAATATTCTACTTTTTAAGGTTATGTTGTGTTAAAATAACTCACCTCTAATTTAATACACTCCGCAGTGTTTAAATGAGTTAAAAGTGCAATGAAGTTGAGTATCATCCATGGAACAGTTCGTCCGAAATAATTTCTTTCTATAATCGATTCATACGGACACACAATAAACGAAAGAAACGTCATTAACCACTTTGCTAATAAAAATAAACCCATCGACGTATACAACTCATCTAACACGTCGTGTAGTAACCCGACACACGTAGCGACATCTATGAAATTCTCACTAGTTCCACTCATAACCTCACAATTTTTACATTCACCTAAGAAATTATTAATTTCACGGTATTTTAACAAGACATAATTTAAAATTGATGCTAAGATTGATTCATAAAATGCTACTGATCCATAAGTCAATATTAAATACATAAACATGCTTAATTCACTTGTGTATAATGAATAATGTTGGAAGAAATTTAAAGTGGCGCTGATTATGTGCAAAATGAAAATGATGGCTATCTTATGGCCGATTTTAACACTAAAATTATTTTTAAATCGTTGTATTGTACATTTTCCTAGTAAATTATTAACTTTTTGAAGTAATTTTACACATTTCATTAGAAATAAATAACGCCGGTTTGAAAATAATAAAATGTCAAAAAGTAAGATGAATTGTGTGTATATAATGAACGCAGCTTGTATTTTCATATATAAATCTGCATTAATTAGAACTAGTTTCAAAGAATTCAATAATATCCACAGAAATATGATTAATTTGCATGAATATAGAATAAGTTTTAGTACTCTCGGTGTTTTTATGGAAATTCCACAGTTTATGATAGAAACTAATATTATTAATGATTTAAAATCTACGTAAGCGTTTTTAGACATTTGTGACATGTCCACGATCTGAGGTTATGAATGTTATAGAGTATATTAATGCCCAAGACAAAAATGATACTAAATGTTAGTAATTATCTAATGTTTCTCGTATTAATTTACATTTGTTTGTATTATTTTCATCTATTTTTATTTCATTAAACGAATTAAACGTTAATTAATCGGGTGGTAGTATGAAATACCTGTATTAACACCAATATACCGGTATTTTTTGGTGAAATATTGGTATTAAATGGTAATTTTTTTTTTTTTTATAGATTTGCAACGTGATTCGCAACTTCAATTGACAGTAATTGATATTGAACGTTAATTTGACGTTTTTCTGAGGTTAGCAACCAAAATTGACTGAAATTGGCAGTATATTTTCACGGTATATTTTACTTAGGAATGTGAAATACCGGTATTAATATCGATATACTGTTTTAAATAAATACCGGTATGAAATGGTAATTTGACGTTTTTTGCGGTTAGTAACTTTGATTGAGAATATTTAAGAGCTTATCTAAACTAGGGATGTAATATACCGGTATTAATACCGGTATTTTTTTAACTATCGCTTTCAATACGCACCGGTATAATAATTAATTAATTTTAAAAATACCGGTATACCGAGATACCGATATTAAACTCATAATTCCCATATTTTTAAGTCTAACCTTACCTCAATCCTAATAAATTCTTCACACGTTAAATGCCCCAAAAGCCCCATAAAATTAATAACCATCCATGGCAAAGTCCTGCAGAGATAATTCCCGGTTGCTATAGCTTCGTACGGATATGCAATCAACGACAGATACGCGATGGACCACTTTGCAATCACAAATAAACCCATCGTATTATTTATTTCCTCCAAAACTTCGTGTAACCATCCGTAACACGTTGCAATATGCACCAAACATTCATTTTCACCACTTTCACTTTCACTCATCTCGCTTAACAAATTATTGATAATACAATATTTACTCTGCACGTAATTCATTAAGCTGCCCATGAACACTTCACCCAATGTCAACGAAGCATGAGTCATCACTAAATATATTATTAAACACCTATTTTCTTCATATCCAGAAGAATTTTGAGTGTAATTGAAAACAGCACTGATTGTGTGCAAAACAAATGCTGATGTAAAAATAGATTTGATAGAAACAGAAAAATCAAGATAAAACGAAGTAAACGATTTATTTTTAGAAGTAGAAGAATTGATTATTTTTAATAAATTATTTACTTGTTGTAATAAATTGATGCTTTTGTTTAAGCATAAATACCGACAGTTTGCGTTTAGTAAAAAGTCGCAAATCACTAAAATTTGAGAAATGACGATAAAAACCACTTGTAAGCGCGCGTAATAGTCTTGATTGTATAAAATATACGAAATTGAAATTTGCATCAACCACAGAATAAAAAGTATTTTGCATAAATATACGATGAAGTTTAATAAGCGATGTTTTCCGTTGTCGAAAGTATAAACACCGGTTAATTTGGTTAGGATTATTAAAAGTTTAAAATGGCGACGCGCGTTTTCAGCTGCCATGCTTGCAATAAGTAAGGTTATGTACTAATTTCTTATTCTTTATCAGAAATGATCAGTAATTATATTAATGTTTGTTGTTATGGATGAACTAATTTAATTTTCTTATCGTTTGTTTATATTCATTTTTTATACGGATAATTATTAATGTGTAGTGTGATACGTGAATTTTAAGTTCAATACCGGTATTTCGGTATACCGGTATTTTTTTAATCAAAATGTCGATATAATATAAATAAAAATTTTATAAGTCTAATTTTTTATGTAAATTTTGAATTAAATACCGGTATTAACGAAATACCGGTATTTTTAATCAAAAGAAAAAAACCGGTATTAAAGGTTTTTCTTAAAATTTTATTTTATATTTTCCGGGATTTGACTTTAATGAAAATCGATATCAGATAAAAAAATAATACCGGTATACCGATATTAATGCCGATATTTTACATAAACTTACCTCGATATTAATAGTTTCCTGAACTATTAAATGCCCCAAAAGTCCCCAGAAATTAAGAATCATCCATGGCAAACTCGGAATTAAATATTTCCCCTCGCTAATCATTTCATACGGATATCTAATCAACGATAAAAACGCAATGAACCATTTTCCAATTGTGAATAATCCGGTTGTTGCCGATAACACTTCCATAATATCATGCAACAGTCCGTAACTGAGACTAATGTCCACAAACATTTTGTCTTCTGCTCCTACATCCATCATAACCTTATTTTTACGCAATATACTAAACTCACGTAGTATACAATTTATTTCTCGATACTTATACAACACATAACCTAAGATGGCCGCGATGTATGCCTCACAATATGCGACTGAGATGTAACTAAACGTGAGGTATAAAAGTAATGTGTAATTTTGGGTGTACATTTGGGCATTTGTCAAAATATTGATTAAAACATGTACTGAATGTTTGGAGAATATAAAAATGAATGTGCTAGTCGGTGTTTGAACTCTTTCACAAACACAGATGCGTGATTTTAATATGTACGCCATTTTGGATAACCTCGTTTTACGACTAGTTCTAAATGACTTAGCAGACTTAGATTTTACATGTTTAGCTAATAAATTATTAATAGTTTGCAATGAATCAACACTTTGTTGTAAACACAAATATCTCCGGTTGCAAATTATCAAAAAATCAAAGATAACGATCGTTTGAGTGGTTATAACCACAAAAGTAGTGTATAATATGCTTATATCTGCAACATTCGCCCAAACACCGGCAGAAATATAAGTTAAACCTGCAAATACTAATAATTTAAGTAAAAAATACCCAAAAATCAAAATTTTCTGGTATTTTTGGTGTGAAAATGAGTAATTTAAATATTTTTCAATAAATATTAAAATATTGAACTGTTTGTACGCATTTTCAACACGTGCCATTGCTACGAGACTAAATACCACGAATTAATAACAAAAAAACGCTTGTAGAAAGCATTAATACATTAATTAATTAATTATTAACTTGTTTGTATATGTTACATGTGTATCATCACACAAACATTATTCTAACCTTAAAATTATCGAGTGTATTATTGTCACCTGTCATTTTTGAGTTTATTTTAGGTTATAACCTTTATTGGTTGAAGTAACCTTTAAATAACCTTTAAAAACACTCACCTCTACTTGAATGAAATCCTCATAACTCAAATGACCCAAAAGCCCAGCGAAATTAACAATCATCCATGGTAGAGCAACCACAAAATAACTCCGTGCAACAATAGCTTCGTACGGATAGGCAATCAACGCTACAAACGCAATAAACCACTTCGCCATTGTAAACAACCCAAATGTCGCTGTGAATTCCTCCAGAACATCATGCAACAACCCATAACACGTCGCAAGATTCACAAAAAAGCTTTCATCTTTAATCACAACGCCATTTTGTGAGTATGAACAATCTTTCAGTAAACCATTAATAGTATAATACTCTTTTGTGGTGTAAGAAATAATCGTCGCCATGAATGTCTCACAATATATAAACGCAACATAACCAACAAACATATAAACACTCAATGCGTAATCATTGAAATACGCTTGTGTATTATAATAAACATTCAAAACAGCAATGAAGGTATGCTTAACAGCAATGGCTACAAACGTCCTGTGGACTGTTTTATATCCGGTGAACATCAAAAGCATAAAATTGTGTTTTGCGTAGTTTTTGAGTTGATTACAAGCACATTTCGATAGTAATTCGTTAACATTTTGCAGGTTATGTAAACATTTCATCAGAGAAACATAACGGCGCTTTGAAAGTAATAAAAATTCGAATGTTATGAAAAATTGCGAGATTGCTACAACAGCTGCCTGAATACGATTTGGCACATCTTTGATATTTTCGACATAATTTATAGATATATAAATCATCCACAAGAGTAGTAAGAGTTTACATAAAAAACAAACAGTTTTTATGATCTGTTTAAGTATGTGATGTGTTTTTATAGTGGATATTTCACCATTTATTAGTTTCTCAAAGTTAATTAATAGTTTAAAATGCGCAAATGCGTTGAGTCGTAGTGTCATTGTTACAATGAAGTAGATACAGTCACAAACATTGAAATTAATCAATAGAAAAGTAATCAACTAATTTCTTACAGGTATTTGTGTTGTGTTTCAGTGTCAAATAAAGTTAAGGGTAAAATATTTTAAAAAAAATTGCTATAGATTAAATAAAACTAACGAATACATTGTTTGTTGAGAATGCTCGTCTTCGCTTTAGCAGTTTCCTTCTTCACTTTGGTGGCATCTTTAGCGAAACACTTCCAGAGTCTTAGTGTTTCATCCGCGCCGGCGGACATGACAGATGAACCATCCGGCGACATCGCCATGTGTAAAACTCGCGCAGTATGACCGGTTAATTCCGCAATGCGTGTCATCGTCGGATATTTCCAGATAATCAATTGATTATTGGCGAATCCGTGACCGGAAATTAATTCTTTGTAATTTGTTGACCAGAGAATTGAGCAAACCTGTGATTTTGTATCGACTGCATTCACCATTGTGCCGTTATTACAATTCCAGAAACGAATATGTCTATCGGCAGTACCGCCACCGCTGGCGAGAATATGCGGCTGCCATGGACACCATGCCAAGCCTTTGACAGCGGCTTGATGAGCTGTGAATGTGTATAAAGGTACGCTACCCGTATGACATGAGCCTGAAATGGCGGCGAAGATATGCAGAGTGTTGTCGTTTCCACCGCTAGCAAGGAATCGACCATCTGTAGACCATTTTAACCCGCAGATTTCCTGAGTATGCGCCGGGATTGTCGTGAGGATATGATCGCGCTGACGCACATCATGATGGATGATGTGTCCGCTACGTGAACCGCTTGTTAGAACGTAGTTGTTCCAAGCGAGAGCGCCGACACGACCGGAATGACCGTCCATTATACGTAAGCGTTTTGGTTGCGCACAATCCCAGAGTTCTACGGTGCCATTAATGGTTCCCACAGCTAAATAATCGCCTTCTTGGACCCAGGCAACCGAACAGACGTAATCATTGCCTTCTAGTTGTATTAAACAGTCGATTTTGCCAGTTCCTGTAAGTTAAATCGACGCCATGTTTGTGTGTTGTTGGTTGCCGACCATTTTATTACACTAACCTGCGTTCCATAGGTAAACGGTGGGTCCAAGTGCAGCAGCTAGGACATTATTACTGTTCCAATCCAATAAGTTAAGATAATAATCGTCTACAATTTCAGGCGCGTCTAGAACACGATCCGGGGCTTGTGGAATGTATCTGGATGCATTTTTCACCGATGCTGGTGTCTTTGTTTGGCTGAAGAGCACTCGCATAGGGTTCTGGAAGCCATCAGGTGCAGTTGGGGCCTTCTTTTGGTAAGCTAAGACTCTTTTCTTGTTTATGTCCAAGCCTTGGATGTTTTCACACATTACTCTCTACATAAATCACATAAAAATTAATATAAAGCAAATTAAACATGTAAATTTATACTACCTGCATTTCTTGTTGTGTAGGACTCTCACATTCCGTGTCATGAGTTATTTTATAGTGTGCCAAATCAAAATTTGTAGCACTTCTAGATGGAATAAAACGATCGCCGGAACTTGTCGGCGTTTTGTTGCCTTTATTCGGGGTTGTGCCTCGTGAGCGGCTTGGAGATTTGTTCTGCGAGGGTGTCTTACCCGTGGGACTTCTACGCTTGAGCACATCAGTACCGTTGCGTTTCGTTGGAGTTTTACTACTCGTGTTGAGCGTCACGTTCTTGGAGGAATTCATCGTTGAATTCGCTGATTGTTCGAGAGCCTTTTTCTGCCAGCGAGGCATCGGCCCCTTCGTCAACGGCCCGTCCAGTTTTAGCAGGCTCTGCAATTCATTGACGTATTTAAATTGCGCCATTATGGATACCTGCTTCGAGTACAAAAATCTCGATGCAAAAGGGCACGGGGATTAAATATATGCAAAAAATATATCTAATCGCATGCGTGGGTTTGTATTAAAAGCACTGTGCACTATTTCTATTTTCTAAGCGGGTTATAATTGATCTAAGCGAGTAATTTGAGGTATGTGTAAAAATTGTGGAAAAAAACCGTTACGATTTGAACTTCGTATGAGTCGTTCGCTCAAACATGCTCAACTGACAGTACAGCTGATTCGTTTGAAGAATGAAACTTCCGTTTAGAAAATGGAGGCACGAACATACACGAAGTTGAACGATTGACGTTTCAAATTGAAAAGTTTCAAAGTTTTCACACAATATTCAATCGTTTTGTTTTATCTTCATCAAAATATATGAAAACAAGCATTGTAATTAATAACTATTACTTATTTCTAGCGTTGTTAATATTATTTTACTTTTAATAAGGTTATGTTTCTGTTTACTTCTTAATTTGCGCTAGTTTAGATGATTTTCACTCAAAAATCGAATTTATTTTTGTATATCTATACTTTAAAAGAAGAAGCATGTCTGATTCTGCCATAAGTGTGAATATTGTATGCATGGATCACTATTTACACTCGCCAGTAAAAGATTTAGATCCTTTCATGTCCGCATTTAGAGCTGCAAGCATTGAAAGACTACCAATCATAAGAATTTATGGATCTACATATGAAGGTATAAAATGACATGTTTAAAATTAAATATAATTCCTAATTTTATATTGTTTTTAGGTGTTAAAGCATGTGTACATATTCACGGCATATTTCCATACTTCTATGTACCTTGTGACAAAGACTGCAGCAATCCTAGTGCAGTTGCTTATCAAATGGCTTCAGCACTTGATAAAGCCATCAATATTACATTCAATCAAGCAACATCAAGTCAACAACATGTGTATAGTATTACTTTAGAGCAAGGAATGTAAGTTGGTAGCAAAATCAACGTATTTTTCTTAAAATTTGTGATTATAAGTCAAAAACATGAACATTTTATTGTTTTAGACCATTTTATGGCTATCACAACGAAGAACATCGTTTCTTCAAGCTTTCTTTCTACAATCCAAGCATGATAAAGAAAGCTAGTACACTGTTACAAAGTGGCAACATAATGGGATCTGTATTTCAACCTTTTGAATGTCACATTCCTTACAAACAACAATTTATGATCGATTACAACTTATTCGGCATGAATTTCGTCCGTTTTGCCAAACCACGTTACCGCAACGACATTTCCCTAAAGAAACAAAGTGTTTGCCCTTTAGAGTTTGACGTTCTTGCTGAAGATATCCTCAATCAATACGACATCATTCCTGGAAATGTCCCGTGCAATCCAGGAATACAATATATACGAGACGAGGAAACAAAGCGTGATGGTAGAGGCAAAGGTGAAGTCATTGAAAGCAATCTGACGCAAAATAGAGTTGACATTGAACCTACAATAACCGATTTAAATTATAAAGAGAAGTTGAAAGCTTTATTGAAGAGTAAATCATCACAGAGTAGTGGAACAAGTACAAGTGGTACTATTTTGAATGAGACTAGTTTATTAGACATTTCTGTGTTGGATAATACTCAATTAGAGGAGCATGCACAAATGTTTTTACAGCTTTGGAAAGATAATGACAATGACAATGATAAACAGACAGTTGATGAATTGGATGATGATTGTGTCCTCTCACAACGAAAAACAAATGCCGACGAGGATGAACCTGATGAAAATGATGACGATTTAAACTTTACCTTGTTGGATTTTATGAATTCATTAGATATGAAAGAAATGGAAAGAAAATAAATGTTGTATATTTCATTGGCGTTCTGTAAACTTGCGTACATGCGCATAATTCAAGGTCGTGTTCGTATGGTTCAAATCTGCTGGTGAATTTCTCGTGTTTCTTGCTGATTTAGCAAAATACGACCTTGATATACGTTGTAAATAAACAAATAATAATCTAGACAATGAAAGAAACCATAAAGTATCAGTTTTCATTGTGAGAAACAGTGAAAATACTGTTAAAAACACGTGCCGGTAGTGTTAAAATTCGTTAAGGTTATGTCTTATACTTTGTGAAAGTCACCGTTGCGTTTGTTTCAACTGATTTCAACGGATTTCCAACTAATTTGAACAGATAATAAGTTATGCAAACAGTGCAAAGTGATTGCCATAACATGGTGTGAGTGTTGTACCACTTTGTATCTAATGACAATCAACATTTTATTAATTATTCTAGAAGAAAACAGTACAAGTTGCGCTCTAGGACTATAAAAGTATCAACTCCTGTGGGAAAAACAAGGAAAGGAAAATGTACGACGAAACATGCGGAAATATACTATCCTGAAGATGAATCATCATCTGTAGCAGAAGAATCAACACCAACATTATCAGAACAAGGTATTTTTTTTAAAGTTTTATGCTAAATTATCAGCTTACATGCTTACAAATCATCTAGGTACACCAAAAAACACATCTTGCTTATTGCACATATCTGATTCAACACCAATATCACATGATAATAATATCAAACAAAGGATTTCCATTGATCTCAATGAATTACAAATTGATATGGAACAGTTGCATAAAGACGGATCTCCTTTAGAGCTTACAACTGTTGTGTATCCAGTAAAAGTCAACACAAATGACAAACAAATTCCAACATATTTAAGTTATACATATTCAAAACAGATTAGCAATGAGCAGCCACTACAACAACAACAGAAATATTTAGATATGCCTTTTTTGGATGATTCGTCAATGTCACCGTCGCCATCTTGTTCATCATCCATTTCATCTCATGTGAGTCAGGACAATTCTTATTCAGTGTCTTCATTTTCATCCAAATCTGCTGATGATAATAATAACAATATTATCCAATGCTTTGGTAATAAACAGTTAGTTAAATATGTTCCTAAAGAGGATAAATGCTTGAAAAAAGTACAGAAACTACGAAAAACACGAAAATTGTCCCATAATACTTCATTACTCTACGATGCAATCATCCAGGACGATGTAATTATCCAACAACTGAAGAAAGGATTAAATCCGCGGTTTCGAATTGTCCCTAGGGATCATAAAAGACCATTTCTTCGTTGCAGTCTGAATTACATGAAATGGCTGCTGAAAATCGAATATTCAAATATTCTGAGGTCAACGTATCCGAACACACAGTGGAGTTATGAAATGACTTCAGGTGTATCAGAAGACAATGCTTTAAATCAGAAGCGCAAATCAGAAGTTCATGTTTTATCAAATATTTTGATCCCATCCAAGTCTATAACCTCATCAGATTTCTCTGAGGAACAAAATCAAGATGGCGGATCTTATAACGACAGTGACACTGAAACTAAATCTTGTGTTTTTAAAGTGAAAAATTTGAAGAAACATGTCGTGGATATTTGTATTCCAGATGGTGCAGACTACGACGAGCTAATAGATCGTTTGGGTCCTGATTACATTCCTAATTTCCGATCTATAAGATATAAGAAGAGACATACAACTGGAGATGCGAGTTGTTCGGGTAGAATAACAAACAGGCGCATAACTGGTATGCGGATAACGCGTTCGCTTGCTTCTGAGTTGAACATCACCGAAATGTTACAATTATCACCGACAAGGCATAAGAAAAAAAGAATTTCAGAAGTCAGCACTGAAGTTGCGGTTGTTCTTGAACCACCTCGTGATTCCGCGTATAAAAAGTTTATTCCTCAGATAGATGGCGATGATGGCGATAGCGAATCGGAAGATGATACATCATATGTTTTTGATGATCTTGTTATGAATGATATTGAATTGCATTCGGTGTCGCCGACTATCTCAGATCTAAATATGTCAGGTTTCTATTTCCCCAGTAGAGCTGAGACTAACAATAAAACTACAATGGCAACTTGTTCTGTTGTTGTAAAACAACTCCCCGAAGAGATCTTGAATAAACATTTAAAGAAAGATGAAGTAAATTACAGCCAGAGATGTTCAGGTTCTTTCAAAAGAACTTCAACAAAAATGGATGAGACTCAGGATGTCACATCGGCGATTTTCACTTATTCCGGCGAAAGGAAAGCGTTGGATCTTGTTCTTTCCGAGAGCCAATTACAATCCAGCAAAATAGACGTGGAGATTGCCTCGGCAGATGTGTCATACACTGATTTTCGATCCAGATTGAATCAGAGCGATGAAACAACGTCGAATATTCTTCCTCCAGAGCTAACTTTACGTTCGGAAGACAGAATTAAGAGAAAGAAGTGTGTAGTTAATATTCCACGAATGAAAAAACGTGAATTAACCAAACATTTAAGGAAATATTACAAACGTAATCCACATGTATGTCAGTATAATTTGAGAGCAAGAAAGAATATACCACAACTAGATGGAGCTGATGATGATTCATCATCGAGTGATGATGATGAATGTATCACTACCACGAGGAAAAGATCATTGCGGAGTCATAACAAGATGGCGGCTAGGGGACGTCGTGCTAATGTTGTAAAAGCCGAAGAAATTAAATATCCTACTTTGGATATTACAGTCACACAGTCACCACATTCAATGAAACATTCTCCAAGGATGAATTTACAAAGGAATTCACCAAGGAGGCCACGTACACCTAGAAGAACAAGAGCGGAGACTGCAAAAAGTTTACAAGTGAATACTGTGAAGTAAGTATTAATTTATATCCGCCATTTTGTATTTTTAAGTAAAAGAAGTAAATAATAAAATTTAGTTGTTTGTGGTAATGTTTTAATTAATTTTTATGTAGTCGTTGTGTAGATGCTGCATCAAGGATACTAAACTTCGATTTGGGCTCGAATCAAACTTTTATTGAAGAAAAAGTTGAGTGTCGCTACAAGCCGGAGAGTGGCTCAACGCAAAATGATAATGTTATGCCTTTATCACAACTTAAACAAAAGATTCTATCGAAATCTACATTACAAGTTGACGAAAATGAACGAAAAACTAGCAATAAAACAGAAATAAGTGAAATTACCGCTAGAGAACGAGAAATTCCGGTGATAATTGATGATAATGATTCAGATGAATTATTTTCATCCCCAAGTGATAATATAATAAAAAATATGACTAAAGACATATCAGAAAAAGAAGAAAACTTAGTAAAGACAGTTACACCTCAATCCAAAGATGAATTAACACTTCCCTCATCACTGGAAGCTTTGATTACACCATATCAAGAAAACCAACCAGCTGATAACGTGATGGATTCATATAACAGTCAATGTAACTTATTCGAAGATAGTCATAATACCAAAACAAGTGAAAATTCATTATTTATCAAGTCAACATCACAAAATAAACCAGAAGAAGTTGAAATACATGAAAAAATACAAACCGAGATTGTTCTAGATGAACCAGTGAATAAATTACTAACAAAAGCCGATGAATACGACATCGCCAATCGAATGTTAGTACAAGCAGGACCATCAAACTGTCCTGCGTCTTTTGAAAGTGCCATTATGTTTGCATCTAGCGGCACACCAGCAGAACAAACACCAACACCAAAAGAAGAAGTGAGTAATATGAATAAATCAATAAATATATTAGACTTAACTTCACATTTAGACATCTATGATGCACAAGATGTCGGCCAAATGGATACTGTAAGTTTAAATTCAAGTTTTGAACAAAGCGGTACATGCGCATACATAACCCCAAAGTACAAACCGCCATCTTGGAAAGTAATCACCGAAACAATGGCGACTTACAATATACCACAACATAAATATCAAGATCCTTTCTATAGTGATCCCAAACATGTTACTGGAGCAGTTGATGTCGGTTACAATACATTGAAAATACTAGCCAAGCATCATTACGAAGAATTTCGCTCTTCGTTTAAATCTTTATTAGATTATCAAAAGATAATATCCGGCGCAACCAATCAAAAAGAACTCAAACAATTGAAATTGTCTTATTGTACAAGTAAATCAGTATTTATGCAACCCGTAAAGAAACCACCAAGCGTAAAGGAAGTAAAACTATGGCTTCTGAAGAAAAAACACTCTTCAAAGAAAAAAAGAGAAGTTCTAGTGGAAGATGCCGAAGAAGAGACTTGTAAAGAAGTCCAAGATCACGAAACAACCGAATTATTAGGCCTTACTATTCTGGAAGATAAAGAAAACTTGTTGGAAGTCACAAGTCCACGATTAAATAAATCTTCGTGGGATAACAGTCACGCCATCTCTGGTGTATCATTAAACAACACTCATGGTTTCAAAATGACGCTGGAGAATTTACAAGAAGCGCGATCTTTGGACATTTATCAATATATTACTTCTTTAGTCATGGAACTACACGCTGAATGTCGTGGGGATAAACTTCCCGATCCACAAATTGATTCTGTAAAAGTGATATTTTTTGCTTTAGCCAATGATATACCTGATAAATCACCTCCATCATCAGGTGTAGGTGTAGGTATAGATTCTACAGTTTCTTCAGCTGGTACTGAAGAACAAACAGAACATTTCCTCAAAGGATTCATCTGTGTGAGTCCTGAATCATCAGATGGTAGTAATATCCTGACGGGAACAGGAATACCACTCACAAAATACACTTTTACAGTAGCTGATGAATTGTCATTGTTTAAAAAGTTCATAGAATTATATCACGCTTGGAATCCTGATATTTTAATGGGTTATGAAATCGAACAGGCTTCATGGGGATATCTTGTTGATCGAGGATATGTCCTGGGTTTAAACATGCCTATTCTACTCTCACGTATTAAAGAAACCGATAAAAAGCAACAAGCGCAACCTACTCCTGAAGAGAAAGAAACTCACGAGGAACATCACTCGCATTTGAAGGTCACCGGGCGGATTGTCATTGATTTATGGCGGATTCTCAAACATGAAATCGCGCTGCAATCCTACACGTTTGAGAATTTAGCGTATCATGTTCTGCATGAGCGTGTACCACGTTATTCACCTAGAGAATTATATTTGTGGTGGAATCACAAGTCTTCCAAGTACAGACATCGTACGGTTGATTATTTTTTGTATCGAGTCGAAGGTGCGTTTAGATTAATAGATCATTATGATTTAATCGGGCGTACATCTGAGTTAGCTCGATTGTTTGGTATACTTTTCTATGAAGTTTTAAGCAGAGGATCACAATTCCGTGTGGAATCCATGATGCTGAGACTTGCGAAACCTTATAAATTCATTCCGGTGTCACCGAATGTTCAACAACGTGCGCATATGAAAGCACCGGAGTTTCTACCACTTATTTTAGAACCTGAGTCGAAATTCTATAAAGATCCAGTGATTGTGCTGGATTTTCAATCGTTATATCCAAGCATGATGATTGCATACAATTATTGTTTCTCCACTTGTCTTGGACGTGTAGAACATTTAGCTTCTGATGCGAAATTTGAGTTTGGTGCTTATGAATTGGAGGTTTCTAAGAAATTAATTGGGAAATATCTGAAAGCGAATTTATTGAATATTTCACCCGCTGGTGTTGCATTTGTGAAAGATTCTGTAAGACCCGGAATAATGCCTAGGATGTTACGGGAAATCTTAGATACACGCCTGATGGTGAAAAAATCTATGAAAAAACACAAAGGCAACAAAACTTTACAAAAAGTCCTACATTCAAGGCAACTAGGATTGAAATTAATCGCTAATGTTACTTATGGTTACACCGCTGCGAATTTCAGTGGAAGGATGCCAGCGTGTGAATTGGCTGATAGTGTTGTATCGAAAGGACGAGAAACTTTACAGAGAGCTATAAAATTAGTGGAACAAAATACAACATGGGGAGCACGAGTTGTTTACGGTGATACAGACTCAATGTTTGTGTTGTGCGCTGGGAAATCCCGGGAAGATGCTTTTAAAATTGGCGAGGAGATTGCCGAGGCTGTTACGAATGCAAATCCGAGTCCGGTGAGATTAAAATTGGAGAAGGTTTATCAACCATGTATTCTGCAGACAAAGAAGCGGTATGTTGGTTATATGTATGAGAGTAAAGAACAAAAAGTTCCGGAGTTTGAAGCGAAAGGTATTGAGACTGTTAGGAGGGATGGATGTCCTGCTGCATCAAAAGTAAGTTTTTTATTTGTTCATTGAATGTTTTTTATAAAGTTTTTCGTTTTAGATGCTTGAAAAGTGTTTAAAATTACTTTTTGACAATCGTGATGTGTCCGAAGTGAGAAACTACGTCCTCAAACAGTTTAATAAAATTTTAACTGGACGAGTAAGTATTCAGGACTTGACTTTTGCGAAAGAGTATCGAGGACGTGAAGGATATCGTCCTGGAGCATGCGTTCCAGCTTTAGAATTAACCAGGTAAATTATTTTTTCATTTTAATTACTCAATCACTAATTTTTAATTTTTTGTGGTTAAAAATAGAAAATGGATGTCTTCCGATAAAAGAAAAGAGCCACGTAGTGGTGAACGTGTGCCTTATGTGATAATTAACGGTCCGCCTGGATTACCACTAATCAAATTAGTGAAATCTCCTTATGATCTTCTTGAAGATTCCAGTTTACGTCCCAATGCGCTTTATTATATTACTAAAGCAATTATTCCACCCATTAATAGATGTTTTAAGTTGATTGGCGCTGATTTATTCAACTGGTTTAATGAAATGCCAAGAAAACAAGTGCAATACTTACACGTTGGTAGTCCCAGTAAAGGACCCAAGTCGACTATTTCGCAATACTTTGCTACTGCGGCGTGTGCGTCCTGCGGTGTGCAGACTAAAGATGGCCTCTGTCCAAAGTGCCTTAATAATCCACAATCGACGATTGTCGCTTTGCATAAGAAGATACATTTGTGGGAAAGGAATTATTTTACTTGCAGAAAGGTATTTTTTGTATTATATTTATTATTTTGATTGTGTAATTAATATTATTATGTTTAATATTGTTTTAGATTTGTGAGTCTTGTTGTGGAAGATCAACTGATCTTTGTTGTAATTCGTTGGATTGTCCTGTTTTGTATAGGAATATGCAAACTTCACACGACATGCAGCAAACGGATGTTGTGCGGTCGCTGCTTGAATATTTCCCGATGGACATTGATAATTGATTTGTCAGAGTTTATTTACTTTAAGTTACTCTTATATTGTTTGTATTTTTGTTTGTTTATGTGAAAGTATTTATTTTGTTTAATTCTGTGTTATATGGTCTTAAGTTAGTTTAGATACTTAATATGGTTTCATTACTAAAAGTACTAAAAGTACGTCAAAAAAAAGTTATTATTTTGACTGGTACACAACTTGCTAAATCTGCAAGTCATTATCCATTAACTTTAAATGGATTTCCTAAAAGTTTTGTAAAATTTATATTATATTAAATGTAAATCAGATTAAAATCTGTGGATATAGTTAATATCTTTCTTTCAGGGCATTTTTGAATACTTCTCACAGACCTTCACGTATATGAGTTACTTGTTCGTGGTACTGATTTTATTGGTAATAACTAGGAGTGATCATAGATGGCGCTAGGATGCACGTATTTGCGTTTAATTCCATGCGGCGATTTCTCGGCTCAAGGTTTGTTGTTGTTAATATCAGAAAGATTCAACTTCTTTTCTGCGCACTGTCTTCAGATAAACAGATAGGCATGGTTTTACATGCTGCATAAACACACGAAGTTACAATTTATAACTTTACTGCAATTTTATTTAAATATTCTTTAATTCCCCCAATAAATAAACATAATTATTATAAACAGATTATTAGCTGTAACAAAAATATTTTACAAACTGCTTGTCCTAAAATTAGCAATTTTAACAGCAATAAACTAGTATATTGATGCGTAGGTTGTGCTTGGTTGTTGATGATGCTCGGAAGAGGTCGATAAGTACGTGCGGCGTCGAGCGATGTTGATGGCAAAGAGGCCGAGTCGCTCAGCATCCCTTGCTGAGCACCCTCAGCGCGGTCTGGTCGGCGGTGTTCGTGGCTCGTCGGCTTGACATGCGGCCTCTTCTGCTGGGGGTTGTAGGTCGCGGATGCTGTGGGCGTTCCGGACTTCGCCGCAAGTGGGCGCCGGAGCCAAGGGTGGCTTCATTCCCCCCTCTCGAAGTGAGGTCCGTACGCAGAACCTCTCCAGCTGATATTGCGTGGGTCCTAGGGACCGAAGGACCACGTAGGGGCCACTACTCGTAGCCGTGAGCTTATGGCGCGTGGGTTGGTGCCAGGGGACACGTCGCTTCACAAACATGTACAGCCGGAAGAGGTCGAGCGGGTTCTTCGAGACCGTCGGACACGTTGTGATCGGCGTGCGGCGCTCCTCCATAAAGGCGAGCAGCTTGTCCAGCCATCTTCGGCGATCCGGATTATCGTCCATTCCATAGAAGTTGCCGTGGCTATCCGTTTTCTTCGAACGGTAGGTTTCTTGAGGTGGCCGATGAGTTTTAAATACTGGACATGTAGGAGTACGCGACCAGCTGGGGCTGCTGATCTCGTATTCTTCGTGCATCGAGTTCATGCCCGCGACACCTAGAGAAGGCACGGTACTCTGAGGCGTCGTGGGATGGTTGTAGTGGCTCATGTCGTTCTTGCGGGACTTGGGCGTCGTGCACTGCGGATCCTCGCCGGACGCCGCAGAAGCACTGGGGAGGGTCGACTGCTGTGAGCTCTCGTCAATCGGCGTGCCATCGGAGCCAGTGCTGACGACATTGAGGGGTGGTGACGTGGACCTCCTAATGGGGACCTTGGTGTCCTGGGCGCGGATGGCTTCGGCATCTGGCTGGGAGTGCCGGAAGGGTCTGCGGGCGGCGGGTGCGGGGCCCGGCTCGAGGCGGACGCGGTGAGCCACATCGGGGATGCGGCCGACGTCGGCATCCTCGGTAGCGAACAGCTGCGGGAAGCGACCCACACTGGTGGAGATGCTAGGCGGCAGCTGGGCATCTGCGGTGAGGCAGAGCGTTTGTTGTAGTTGGCCAGGGGTCCGTCGGTGGACCGTGAGCTGGCGAAAGTCGACATCGACAGGGTGGCTGTCGTTATCCATCATCTCATGTGGCGGCGGGCCAGCGGTGAGCGGATGATGCGGGTTGGGCGTAGAGGAAGGCGGTGGCATCGGCCCACCGTCATGCGAATGGTTATTTTGTAAAAGCGGGCTGGTCGCCGGCGGCAAGTTAGGCGGGTCCATGTGATAATTGATCGGCGGGCTAGGGCTGGGCGGCATCGACGCCGGCGGCGTGCCGACGAAGCTCATCTTGTTGTTGTGGCATTCTGCGAGCTCTAGGACGCGGCGTTGAGCCTGCACCAGCGGGACGGGCACTGGACGGCCGAACCGCGCGATTAACTGGTGTCGGACCTCCGCCCATGTGATGGAGCCCATTCGTGGAGCTACGTCCATTGCGTACCAGTACAGCGCGTCGTGCACGAGATAGCCCATGAGCATGGCTACCCTCTCGTTGTCTGTTTTGCCGCAGACAACCACTTCGAAGAGGTTCAGCCATAACTCGGCTTGCATGGTTCTACGTCCCGCGTACTTTTCGAGAGCGGGAGCGGCCATCTTGGGGCGCGTACTTCTACCGAATCGTAGGTCAATTATGGAATTGTTGCATACCTCTTCGAATCCTACCGACTGCGCCAAAATGATGCGTAGGTTGTGCTTGGTTGTTGATGATGCTCGGAAGAGGTCGATAAGTACGTGCGGCGTCGAGCGATGTTGATGGCAAAGAGGCCGAGTCGCTCAGCATCCCTTGCTGAGCACCCTCAGCGCGGTCTGGTCGGCGGTGTTCGTGGCTCGTCGGCTTGGGATGCGGCCTCTTCTGCTGGGGGTTGTAGGTCGCGGATGCTGTGGGCGTTCCGGACTTCGCCGCAAGTGGGCGCCGGAGCCAAGGGTGGCTTCAATATAAAATTAGTGATAAATCGTAATAAACATCACTTAAATCTAGTCAATGCTATTTTTAGTATTTTTATGTGCAGTCTTTTGTTGTCACTCCTTTATATTCCAATAATTTGCTTAATCAACATTATATAAAATAGTTCCAAAATATGTATTATATATCTTAGTCTTACTTTTCAAATTTATAGCTGTTGACAGTTTTTGAAATGAAGAATTTGAAGTTTCTGTCAGCACAAATCGCTAGTCAAAACACTTTCAACCGTTTTAATATAAATCCACGTTGCAGAAGCAATACACCACCATATTTTTACAAACATATATATTTTATTAAATATTATATACATTTAGTTAGAGTATCACAGAAAATCCACGTTTAATATTAAAATTCAACAAATTACATAACGCTGTGTTGCTTAGCGCAGTCCTCTTGACCCTTGCAAGATGGCCGTGCATCATTCCATCTCTAGCGCTCTCACGCAACGCACGTTACCTACCTCATTCTACTGGCATCGATTTTCATTTGCATAACAACATAACACATCGTTCCGCTGTCAGCAGCTGATTTTCCACTCGGTGCGCCGAAACTCTTCGATTTTCCTTCAAAAACACACTGATAAAACCCATCCAACATGCAGGGCATGAGCTTGCAGTCGCTGAAGAAGCACAAGGCTGTAAGTATTCATTTCTACGCATCTAACACCAAAATAAAGTCGATTTATATTTCGGGCGCATTTTGTGGTTATATAAATACATTTTTCCGTCGTTACAACGACGTAATTTCTGCAACACATTAAATAACCTATCTAAATTATTCTAGTTGATTCCATTGTACGTCTGTACTGGTTTGGGATGCTTCGGAGCTCTCTTCTACACGCTCCGTTTGGCTACCAGGAACCCTGATGTTCAGTGGAACAGGACTGGTCAGATCTCCAATGAAGAGTATGCCAACAACAAACAATACAAAGTAATTGCATCTTTACATCTTTATTGTATAAAAACATATTATATTTATGGTCTATAATTATTTTACAGTTCTACTCCCCAAATGTGGATTACTCTAAGATGAAGTCAGAGGCACCTAAATTTTAAGCTGTCAGTGGAGTATAGTATGAAATAGTTCAATCTTATTTAATTCAATGATAAATGTGAAAAAATGCGTAAAATCGATGCAAATGTAACATCTTGACATGTTTCTGTAAATAAAAAATGGTGATATTACCACAAATAGTGATAATTATAGGTTAGAATAGAAGGTTAAGTTTAGCAAAATTCCATTTGTTATGCGTTTTTTTCAAGAATTTAAATGATTTTGAGGTTAACTGTCATTTTAACCTATATTTTGACAGAAATAATTTAAATATTTCTTAATTTATTAAGTTTTACAATTAATTTTGAGTTCTTAACCATAAATAGCTAATTATATAAGTTTACGCATCAAAAATCACTAAAATTACCTAATTTTAACCATTTTAAAAAACCGCCATCTTTAAAACATAAAATTTGTTCTTTTTTACGCATTAAACTACAAATTCATTGGAATATTAAACTGCAATTGACTAAAACTATACTATAGCAACAAAATGAGTTTAAATTTAAACCGTAATATCAATACTAGTTTCATTTACGTCCTTAATTGCAGGGGTAATTTATATCCCATTAACCTACACAGCTAAAGATAGTTAATCTTGCATTATCCATGGAAATTCACCTCTGCTTGTAATTATATTCCGCATATAATGTTATTTCCTAACGTCGGAAGTATCGAAAGTCCGAAATCCGACCCTTGAGCTCGCACGCTCGCGCGTTCAATCAGTCTATGCGTGCGCTCGCCGCAGTCTCTGCCAGCCGATATGCAGCCAATAATGGCCTCGCAATGGGAGGAATTCTACGCTTCTCATCTGCCGCCCCCGGACTTCGAGGACAACCGCACGCTGCTGAAGGAGTTCTGCGCCCGCCAGAGCAAGGTCGGCCAGCGGATCGTGCTCATCACGGTCAGTGATAATGATTTATTTAATGCAACATTCAAATGTTAAACATAACCTTACATATTTCTTCTTGGATTCACTGATTTTATATTTTTGTTTATTAATTTATGTTATAAACACATTTTTATAGTGAATATATATTTTTAAATGTCTATTTTTGTTGTATATTGTAGTCTGGAGGAACAACGGTTCCTTTAGAGCACAATACTGTTAGGTTTGTGGATAACTTCAGTGCTGGCATGCGAGGAGCTGCATCTGCTGAATATTTCCTAGAACATGGATATTCAGTCATATTTATGCATCGACTAAAGTCTCTGGAGCCTTTTACAAGACACTTCAGTGGTCAGAAGTTTATGGATATGCTGGATTTGCAGATAACTGAACAGGATACTTCTATTACAGGTAAAACATAAATAAAAGTCATTTTATTCCTTTTTAAATACAAAACAAAATGGCGGACATTTATGCTTTTAAATCTTACTAAAATGTATCAAATTTTTAGTTAAACCGGATAGTGTTGATGTGCTAGCGCCTGTTTTATTGAACTACAAAGCAGCACAAGAAACAGGAAGGATTTTATACGTGAATTTTACAACGGTGGCCGATTATTTTTGGCTGTTGCGAGCAGCTTGTGAGTGTTTAGCCACGCTGGGGCCGAAAGCAATGCTTTATTTAGCTGCGGCGGTGTCAGATTTTTATGTTCCTTCCAATGAAATGGTAAATAACTTGAAATTACACTGATTACAATCATAATTTGTAATTATCCTGCAGCCTACACATAAGATACAGTCCGGAGCAGTGCCAAATATTTCACTACAACTAGTTCCTAAACTATTATCACCTGTGGTGAATCTCTGGGTGCCGCACGCGTTTGTCGTCTCTTTCAAACTTGAAACCGACGAGAACATTCTACTCTCAAAAGCTAGAGATTCATTAAATAAATATAAACACAAAGTAAGTTTACAACATATTTGTGTTTATTGTATATCTGGTTGTATATGCATCAAAATCTGAATTTGTGTTTGTTTGTTGTGATGTTTGATTGTGTCTTGTTTCTTAGTTGGTGATTGGTAACATATTACAAACAAGAAGACAACGCGTTGTGTTCGTAATGTCAGATGACAGCTACGAGGTCACCTTGACGCGCGAACAAATGATCAACGGGATCGAAATCGAAGAGCACATTGTTACCAACATCATCAACCATCACACACAATATATGTCCGTGCATAAATTCTAACAGGTAAATTTTTACGATTTACATTCCACGTATATATATGTATGTGTAAAACTTGTCAAAAGTTCACTTGAATCGTTTCATTTGCTGGCCAAATGAACATGTTCATATAATGGTGATTGTCTTTGGTATACTTAAAGATGGCGGACGACATAGCGGTAATAAGGACCAATAATTTATTAGGTGCAGAGTATAACTGTGACTTAACAAAAAAAAAAAAACTCCTGACTATTTGGTATTTGCCTATATCAAGTTAATAATTCGTTGATGATCGTAAACTTTATCTAAATGTAATAAACATAAATATAATTGAATGTTATTCATCGGTATGCTTTCATATCGATTTACCGAAAATTTAACCGAAGTAATCGACGACTTAAACAAAATGTGTATTGATGTAACTAAAGAATGTTTAAAACTTGATATAACCCGGGGCAGGTTTAAATAACTCAATAAGTATTAGATAGTTTAACCAGTAATATTCCCGAAAACCAAGGCTGCTTCATTATTTCGGGACACACACACCACCAAAAGACGAAGTTGAAGAATGAAAGACTGTTTTTCCATGCGAATTTTTACGAAACCTACAACCAAACAAATTTTTAGGCGTAGATATTTAGTGACACCAAAAAATCGCACATTATCCGAGTTTTTAGTAAAAATACTAAAATTGTAGATATTATTAACTTTGGAACATTATAATCAGGGTAAACAGAATATATTTTAACAAAATTTTATTAAAATGCATAGGAAATGTGTATAATAAGTTTTAAAACGTTTAACAACCGACCATTAGACCCACATATCACCTTTTCGACTCTTTTGTACAATGTGTAGCTCAGTGTAGACTAAAAAACAGAAAGAAAGAGCGTTGTGTGCGTAGTGTAGAGTTAAAACGACCTTCCGAATGTTGTTGATAATATTTGTTACAATTTTAAAAGGAAAAACGCTTAACATTATTAAAGATGACTGCAGTCGGGCGTAATTCTATGCAGATTGTTCGATTAGTTTAAGAAATGAATGTTTATTAGGTGTTTGATCGCGTGTTACATGAAAATCTCTTTAAAATTTTGTTAATTAGTAGTTATGGGTTAAATAGCTAATTTGTTTGAAGCAATACTTGTTAATTTTATGGTTCTGGTAACGACAGAATGGCTTCTACATGGTACTACCTATGTGTTGTGTAAACAAGTCAGTCAGGCACTACAGAAGTGAAAAAAATGTTAAGGGTGTCGAATAACTAGCGAATAAATACATGGATGTTACTTTTATAGTTATTACTAATAATTTTTTTTTATCATTTCGGTTGTTTTTAATGGAAAATTATTAATTTTAACCTGTAAATTGATTAATTCAAGATGGCGCCGACAGAACTTCAATATTCAAACATCTATAACCACAATTTATTAGTTTTATCAAATTTATTCTACATTAAGGAAAATATTCTTTAGCATCGCGGCCTTTATTCCTTGGCAAATCAGGCCTCAACGCTCTAGGAATATAAAACGGTTTCCGATCATCCAAGCGTCGATTTGAAGGCTTTTGCATCAATTCAAACGGCCGCCTGCGCGGTTCCATCGGACGTGTCTTAAAGTCCACCTTGTAAATCTTCTCCCAATTATAAACCTCATATCCCAGCTTGTATCGTGGACGATGTGACACCAAGAACTTGTACTCTCTCTCCAGCCACTCCCTTTTCTCCACATCAGTATAATCCGCGATGGTTTTCTCACTCTGGGATAAATACGGATGCAAATTCACACCCATACGCTCCTCGGGAACATTCGCGTAAAACCTTAGTAACATTTTCAGTACATCATCATTAAATCCAACCAATTTCCCGTCTTTAAACTCTTCGAAAAGTTTTACTTCGGGTGTAGCGTAACAAATGTTAACTTTCGGGTTGGTATCGATGTTTGTACCATGCACAAGCATTGTATTCATTTGATAGGAGTAAAAGACCATACTTGGCCGTTGGTGATAACTGATTGCGTTACTATGGGATAAGTAATGTCATTGAAAGTAGTGAAACCTTGATAGTTGGCTTGTGAGTGCAACCACGCGAAAGATTGAAGTATTGCTTGCCGATGCAATGCTTCCTTGTCATCTTCAAGGTCGTTATATGGTCGATTAATGATATGACCGCGTTTGTGATAGGATAGAACACCAAAGTGATGCGGATCCCCGGGCCAAAAACCTGTAACAAAACGAAAGTGAAAGTTAGAGAAATATAAATAATAAATAACTTTCGTTTTCTTTTGATTTTTACCTGGTATATTAGCCATGTGACTGTGTTTTGTCATTGTTCCTACAACTCTGGGATCAAACCGCCATTTTGGAACTTCTAAATCTTCGATATTTGCCTCTTGATAACTCATTAGAGGCTTCAAAGGTATGCAACTCCTGAGTGTCAGCAGTGGTTTACCATCATAAGCAATCAATCTATCAGTTGGATCATTTTCAGTGTGTTTTCTAAAATCTTGTCCTTTACCTGTCCTGTATTTCTTTATATTTTTTGGTGGATTCATACCACCAGCAAACCAAAATGCTTCTAATCTTGGTTCTACATCCACCTGGACATCCAATAAATGAGAATAATCCTGCACCATGTTATTCATGATAGCTCTATTGACTTGTTTCACAATTTGTGCTGTTATTATATTTTCTAATTCATTTGGAGATAAATCCAATTTACTGGTTCTTGTTTTGTAACCATCTAATTCAATGGTGAGTGCATCTTCAAATTTTGCTTTTAGGTTTTCTGCTATGCTATCAACATTTATATCTTTGTAGTAGTCACTTAAGTTGTTGTCAATTTTAAGGTGAGTTCTGGTAATGTGTTGGGCTAGTTTTAAATTGTCATAGGGTATGACATCTTCATGGAATTCATAGCATTTGAATCCGTAGTATCTGGGCATGTTGAGCTTGATTTGTTTCTCTTCGATGGTTTTTACGGATTTGATCTCGTCGTGCTCGGATTGTTTTCTGCGTTCGCGGACTTTCTCTGGAGAAGGATCCAGAATTGGTGGATAGTGTGGCACTGCAGTGTATTCTTCATTTTGGGTTACTGCCGTGGAGTAACACTTGGTTGACTGTCGCAATAAATATCGATTAAGCCGTATTAACGACATATTTGGTTGGTTTTATGTCTGTACTATGTTTTTATTGAGTTTGTGCACTTTTTAAATGCGGTGTGGAAAGTTATCATTAGGATTTTGTTGGTTATATAAATTGTAACAGATCGGGGGCTCTCGCTGTCAACTTAACCTGCTCAATTTTATGAATAAAACCATAGAATATGCATAGAATCTTTTGTAGAAGGCAATAATATTAGTAATTATTGGATTGATAACAGGACAGATTCATATTTTAATACTTGTGGGAAAGTTTTCTGCACAATACTCGTCACCGCACATATGTGCGTCCGAATAAATATTTTAAGCTTGAATTGTTACAACGATATCAAGTATTTCATTTCATGTCCAGGCATTAATTGTATAGTACATCAAAAAACGTTTCCTCTAAATTCAATCGTTTTTTTTATAAAAGTTTAGGATAATTTTGTTCAATTTCATTTGCGCCATCTAGTGGTTAACACAACATTTACAAAAGTTTAGACGTCTCCTGCGCGAATCAAAACCAATCGCAATCGACTTTTCGGCCAAAATCCATCATCTTGCGCCAGGACTTTCTTGATCACATTATAAACTAAGTTAATTTAATCGCCATGGCGTCCAACAAACTTTCAATGATTGTAAGTACGCCATTTCCCACAATATCCAAGCATTTATCTTAAATAATACGCTTCACCACAATTTCTATTACATAATATCTTTTGAGGTTATTTCATTGATATGTAACATTTTCCTCAGAACGTTCTTGAAAACTAAATCAAAGTTTGCACGTTTGCACTACATTTAGGTACGCTCTTTCAGCAGCAGCAATGTCGCCACTCAGATGGTCAAGCCACCCATTCAGGTGTTCGGCATCGAGGGCCGTTATGCCACGGCTCTCTACTCGGCCGCCAGCAAAGAAAAGAAGCTAGATGCTGTTGAGAAGGAGTTGGTCAAATTCCAGGCGTCTATTAAAACTGACATCAAGTTGCGTGAGTTCCTCGACAACCCGACTATTAAGCGCAATATCAAATCTGAGGCCCTCAAGAGTGTTGCGTCGAAGATTTCGTTGACGCCACAATCTTCCAACTTGCTTCAACTCTTGGCTGAAAACGGCCGTTTGAAGAATGTTTCCGGTGTCATCAATGCGTTCAAAACAATTATGGCTGCACACAGAGGAGAAGTAAATTTATTTCTTTCATTATTACAGTCATATTAAATTATGTAACATCAAAATGTGTTTTTATAGGTAACTTGTGAAGTGATTACTGCCAAGGAACTGGATTCCGCTCAGCGCCAGAAGTTGGAGGGTGTGTTGAAGTCATTCCTTAAGGGCAACCAGACCATTCAACTGACCTCCAAGGTAGACCCAACTATCATGGGTGGTATGATCGTGAGCATCGGCGATCGTTACGTTGACATGAGCGTCGCCAGCAAGCTGAAGAAGTACACCGAAATTATCAACGCCAGCGTATAAGCTCTTTAAGAAAAATTGTGTAATGTTGATTAAAAATGGTAAATTAGAAACCAATTACGTTTATAATGATATAGCAAATGATGTGTAATAGAAAGTCGAAAATGTGGAATTCTAATTTGTTTCAACTATTTACAACTAAAAATTCAGCAGATTTTGAAGCGATTCAGGTAGTGTTTCAGTCGTGTTCTGCTTCAAAATGGCTGCAAATGTTTATTGTTTTTCTGAAATTTTCAAAAGATGCCGTGGATATTCTGTTAGCGTCGAATGGGTGTCACTTTTACCGCTACCTTATACGGTGCTCTGAACACGAGTCACTTTTACCGCTAGCCTCGTACAGTATCCTGAATACGAGTCACTTCAACCGCTACCCTCTTACGGTGCCTAGAACACGAGTCACTTACCGGCACCTTCGTACGGTGCTCTGAATGGGAGTCACTTTTACCGCTAGGCTCGTACGGTAGCCTGAAAACGAGTCACTTTTATCGACACCGTCATAACGTGATTGAAGAGTACAAAACTTCCGAAAATTCTTTATGGAAGAAGATAATAAAATATATTAATTACGTGAAGTAAAAGTTCAAAAATAGTCGTTAAAAGAGCTAAGGAGAACGATTTTTAATGTTTTTTTATTTATTTTTAAATTGTGATTATCTCCGGAACTGCCTTTTATATAAACTGCATTCAAATCGGTATTTTAGGGTACATTGTTCATACGAATAAGAGAGTACGTTCACAATATAAAATCGTTTCATTGTGTTAGACTGTGTCCTCAACATGAATTGTTCATAGTTTTCACCTTTGACTCTTATCGGTGTTTGTGTACAAACAACATGTTTTTTTATCACGTTGCAGCGTGTCCGGCGCGCCTAGCATTGTTTGTGCTATTACTTACTTAGTCGATCGTGCGCTGCGGCGTGGTGTGCACGCGTTTACTTGCGCGGCGGTCTTCGTGGCGGCTTATCGCGTTTCTTGTGATTTTAAGTAGGTAGTTTGATAAGAATCGGTCAGCAAAGATAAGATTTAAAATTAACGCGTAAATGGCACGTATAGTTAATGAGTTATTGCGTGTGGAGCGCAGGATTGCATGGTTTTACAAGATACGCACTTGTTTATGATCGGGTCTTGGATATCTTCCGTCGGCTAAAAATTCTTAGTGGTTTTGTTTTATGTATTCATTTCATAGCTAATTTAAATCAAGATCTTTTGTGCCCCGTGTGGAATATTTTACCTACGAAAACGTAAGGAAGGGTGTAACATTAATATAATATTATATTCAATTAACAAAATAAGTAGAAATAGTCGTAACATTTTCGTTGCAATATTGTCGCGTTCCGTCGGCTGCGTATTCGTTCCCATTAGATCGCGTTTTTCGTGCCTGCTTTTTGCTTTTGAATCTTAATTCTATCTGTAAATGAGGGCATCTTCAGTAACTTCAGATAAAAAGAGCGGATGAAAAGTTTTTTTACAACCACACTACTTGATTTCGATAGAAATGTGACAATCACTCAATCATGTAGGTATATGGTTTTTCTACCGGCAGAAAAATGTATGTATGTAAACGAAACAACTTAGCACTACCTGATATGTTTATTGTTTGTTGTACAAAAAATTAAATGAATCATTTATTAAATACGGGTTTGCTTCGTGTATGACTTTTGTTGTATTCAATTTCATTGCAATATCAACCTTGTTGCATATTGATAAATGTGTTTTGAATATTTTAAGTTGATAAATATTATCAACGGGTAGATGGCGCTACGATGCACGGTTTTGCATTAAATATTGCTTGTTGGTGGTAGTGAGTGCACACCGTGTCCGTGTGCGATCACCCGATTTCGCGCAAGAGATAAGTTTGTTTACCTGCAAGTATAGAATCTGTATTTCGTGGAATCAAAACACACCGTTGCTGTTTATTATATTAGCATCGTAAATTTAAGCAAATATTCTTCAATTCTTTCATGAATATAACTAACAATTTTATATTAATTCTAATACTTTATTATAAAAATCATCAAAAAAGCAAGACATTTTTATTATCAGCAGTGTTACCTGGTAAACGAGAGACGATGCATGTTCAAATTAAATATTACCTACTTAAATATTTAATGTAAAATTTGGCAATCTGTCAGCATAAGAAAACAGAATTACGCAAATCGAATTTTAATATTTTATTACCTTGACTAATCTAAATTTCGAAACTAGGTATTGTATCATTTATAGATGGCAATAACATGGACTAAAAATTGTAAAATTAACTTGTATTGTATATTTCTATATTTATCAGCAGGCGGAACCTTCGACACAAGAATTGTGTATGTTTGAACATAATATACACTTTCTTATCGCGTTGCCGTGTGTCGCAACTTGTTTAATTTTGATCCCAGGAAAACTGCCAAATGCAATTCGCGCATAAGGTCGCGAGCTATCGACGCGCCGCTGAGTTTGCGCATCTATTGCAATTCACGCACAAGGTCTCTTACGATTGACGCGATTGGCCTTGCCCACCTCTTGCTTACTTATCATAAACTGTCTCGGTGTTGCTTATGTAGTTTGCGGCCAGTTTCGTGCCGGTCTCGGGATGGTTTAGACGTATTTTGCGCGACTCGTATCATTTATCCGGACTTCTACTTTTCAATTCGTATTATATTCGATCATCAATCAACTATTTAATTTTAACTTGACTTTAGTAACTTTAGTAAATTTATTTATTATTTGCGCGTAAGTGTATCGCGGCCATATTGATTCATTCATCATTTGGATGACTTATCGTGCTGATGTAAGTAACTTTTAACTGAACAGCATAGATTGTTTGTTTTTCTCCGCTGTGTGAATATAATATTACTTATGTTTTCTTTTTTTATTTACAGTATTTGCCGTGCCTTGGAGCCTGATGACTTCTGCATTGGTAAGTTTATACTTCAATTATATTTTTCGTTTTAATTTCTGCGTTGGACATTGCGTTTGTGTATAAACAACTTTTTTGTGTGGCGTTGTGGCGTGATGCGGAATTAAATTCTCCGTCGGGTGCTAATAGTTTGTTGCAGGAATTCCCCCTCTAACCCGCAAAAATTTGCATAAAATTGCAATTTTTCATTGTTTTTTTCGGGTTTGCGCGCGATCTAGTCATCTTACTAACTTCAGCGCGGCATCAAAAGATGCGGAATTAAATTCTCCGTCGGGTGGTAATAGTTTGTTGCAGGAATTCCCCCTCTAACCCGCAAAAATTTGCATAAAATTGCAATTTTTCATTGTTTTTTTCGGGTTTGCGCGCGATCTAGTCATCTTACTAACTTCAGCGCGGCATCAAAAGATGCGGAATTAAATTCTCCGTCGGGTGGTAATAGTTTGTTGCAGGAATTCCCCCTCTAACCCGCGAAAATTTGCATAAAATTGTAATTTTTCATTGGTTTTTCGGGTTTACGCGCGATCTAGTAGTCTTACTAACGTCAGCGCGGCGTCAAAAGCTGCGGAATTAAATTCTCCGTGGGGTGGTAATAGTTTGTTGCAGGAATTCCCCCTCTAACCGGCAAAAATTTGCATATAATTATAATTTTTTATTGTTTTTCGGGTTTGCGCGCGATCTAGTCATCCTACTAAATTCAGCGCGGCATCAAAAGATGCGGAATTAAATTCGCCGTCGTGTGGTAATAGTTTGTTGCAGGAATTCCCTTGTCACCCGCGAAAATTTGCATAAAATTGTAATTATTCATTGTTTTTTCAGGTTTGCGCGCGATCTAAGCGTCTCACTATTTTCAGCGCGGCATCAAAAGATGCGGAATTAAATTCGCCGTCGCATGGTAATAGTTTGTTGCAGGAATTCCCTTGTCACCCGCGAAAATTTGCATAAAAGTGTAATTTTTTATGGTTTTTTTGGGTTTGTGCGCGATCTAGGCGTCTCACTAATTTCAGCGCGGCATCAAAAGATGCGGAATTAAATTCGCCGTCGCATGGTAATAGTTTGTTGCAGGAATTCCCTTGTCACCCGCGAAAATTTGCATAAAATTGTAATTATTCATGGTTTTTTCAGGTTTGCGCGCGATCTAAGCGTCTCACTATTTTCAGCGCGGCATCAAAAGATGCGGAATTAAATTCGTCGTCGGGTGGTAATAGTTTGTTGCAGGAATTCCCCCTCTAACCCGTAAAAATTTGCATATAATTGTAATTTTTCATTGTTTTTTCGGGTTTGCGCGCGATCTAGTCATCCTACTAATTTCAGCGCGGCATCAAAAGATGCGGAATTAAATTCGCCGTCGTGTGGTAATAGTTTGTTGCAGGAATTCCCCCTCTAACCCGTAAAAATTTGCATATAATTGTAATTTTTCATTGTTTTTTCGGGTTTGCGCGCGATCTAAGCGTCTCACTATCTTCAGCGCGGCGTCAAAAGATGCGGAATTAAATTCGCCGTCGGGTGGTAATAGTTTGTTGCAGGAATTCCCCCTCTAACCCGCAAAAATTTGCATAAAATTGTAATTTTTCATGGTTTTTTCGGGTTTGCGCACGATCTAAGCGTCTCACTATCTTCAGCGCGGCGTCAAAAGATGCGGAATTAAATTCGCCGTCGGGTGGTAATAGTTTGTTGCAGGAATTCCCCTCTAACCGGCAAGAATTTGCATATAATTGTAATTTTTTATTGTTTTTTCGGGTTTGCGCGCGATCTAGTCATCCTACTAAATTCAGCGCGGCATCAAAATATGCGGAATTAAATTCGCCGTCTTGTGGTAATAGTTCGTTGCAAGAATTCCGCCTCTAACCCGCGAAAATTTGCATAAAATTGTAATTATTCATTGTTTTTTCGGGTTTGTGCGCGATCTAGGCGCCTCACTAATTTCAGCGTGGCGCCAAAAGATGCGGAATTAAATTCTCCGTCGGGTGGTAATAGTTTGTTGCAGAAACTCCCCCTGTAACCCGCGAAAATTTGCATAAAATTGTAATTGTTCATTGTTTTTTCGGGTTTGTGCGCGATCTAGGTGTCCCACTAATTTCAGCGCGGCGTCAAAAGATGCGGAATTAAGTTCTCCGTCGGGTGGTATTAGTTTGTTGCAGAAACTCCCCCTGTAACCCGCGAAAATTTGCGTAAAAATTGTAATTTTTCATGTTTTTTTTTTCGAGTTTGTG